GTTCAAAACCAGCCTGAGCAAGAGCGAGACCTGTCTCTACATAAATAGAAAGAAATTAATTGACCAACTAAATATATACAAAAAATTAGCCAGGCATGGTGGCGCATGCCATAGCCCAGCTACTCGGGAGGCTGAGGCAGCAGGATTGCTTGAGCCCAGGAGTTTGAGGTTGCTGTGAGCTAGGCTGACGCCACAGCACTCACTCAAGCCTGGGCAACAAAGCAAGACTCTGTCTCAAAAAAAAATAAATAAATAAAGTGTGAACAGTAGATAGTTGAAGATAGACCGATTTTTAACACCTTTGCCTATGTAATTTTTTAAAAATCACTCTTCCCAGGGTTTGTCTTTACTTATTTCAAATGGTTTTCCATTGCTACATTTTAAAAAGTAGTCATAACTGAAAAAACAGTTTAGAGTCTCTACATGTCACACCAATTCCCAAATTGCATTCACTGCCTTTCACTTGCATTCCCCTATGAGCTTCTGTTGAATAAAGCTGATAGGATTATTGGCAGCCAGGTTCTGATAAAAAACAGTTTCTAAATACCTCAAGATTTTCCTCTGACCCTTCTTTTTACAAATTGGGAAGTCTTCATTCTAATAGAAGGTAGATTGGGGTTTTTGTTCATCTCAACAAATTTGCTGTAAAGGATTCAGAAAGGCCTTGGCATATTAAATGTCAATTCTGGTTTGAAAATATAATATTTTTATCCAATTGTGTGACACACTGCTTATTGGAATTTTATCAGAAAAGGAATTGACCTTGGATCATGGATCCTTCTGGCAATTTTCCCCTTAAACTGATCAGCAGATAGTAATTGCAGCTGAGTCTTCACTTTGAAAATGAAGTAATGATAATACATTATGGTGTTTAATAAAAAGACATTTTAAGGAAAACGCAAAAACAGAAGTGGACTTTGGACTTTTTTGAAACTGGAAGAAAGACAAACACGTTAAGTTTATGTTAATTTCGTTTTGTCAGAAATTGTTTAGCAAAGGAAACAGTTGGTTTCATTAATACCTTGTTCAAGTCAGTGACCCACTGAGGCCATGATAATTTCTTAATGGTACTTAGTATATTAATGGTGGTGCAATGCCTGTAATCCAGCTGCTCGGGAGGCTGAGGCAGGAGATCACTTGAGCCCAGGAGTTTGTGGTTGCTGTGAGCTAGGCTGACACCTCGGCACTCTAGCCAGGCAGCAACAGAGTGAGACTCTGTCTCAAAAAAAAAAAAAAGAAAAAAAAAAAAGAAAAAAAATTAGCTGGACATGGTGGCACATGACTAGTCCCAGCTGCTCCAGAGGCTGAGGCAGGAGGATCACTTGAGCCCAGGAGTTTAAGGTTGCTATGAGCTATGATGATGCCACTGCACTCTAGCTGGGGCACCCATAGCAAGCTCTCAAAAAAAAAAAAAAAAAAATTCCCAGTAGGGCATCTGAAATTGCTTTCTCAAAACCGAAACAGGTTATTAATAACGCAGGCATATTAGGTAGTTTTAATGGAACTACAGTATGAAGCAATTTTATTGGAAGAAAAAAAAATACTACCAGGGATTGCACTTCCAGTCTTCTTTACAGAATAAACTGGTAAAAATGATGCGGTGGCTGAATGAAAGCCAGCTCTACTCAATGATTCTCCAATGCATGAATAAGCATGCATCAGAATTTTTCGGAGGGCTTGTTAAAGATTGCTGGGCCCCACCCGTACAATTTTTTATTCAATAGATTGGTAGTAGGATAAGAGAAAATTACATTTTTAAAGTTCCCAGGTAAAACTACTAGTTCTAGGAATCCGCACTTGGAAACTAGTCTACAATTTAGCTCTGTGTGTTGCAAAAAATCAATGTCAATGATCACAAAGATTGCTGAAGAATGGAGAATAGAAATGTACTGGACTTCACGTCAACTTTCCTTATTGTGATTAAGTTAGTTTGATCCTCTAGCTGTTCTTTTGTTTGTAAACATTTCTATAAGTAGGAAATACCATTTTAGAGAGAAATACATATAATAGCCATTTACTATGTTCTGTGTTTTACAAAAAACTCACATGTGTATATCCCTTCTGCACAGTTTATAATAAATCTCTTATTTGAGCGTTGTGGGCATAAAATTCATGAATAGATGAATATATTGTGACCACGCACCACTTTTCACTACCCTTTCTCTAGCACAAGACCACAATACACTGGCAATATTTTCTGTGGAATCCTATTTCCACTACTTGTATTCAAATTTCTCCCCACTTAAGGATTATGTTCAAAAAAATAATTATGGCATACTGTTTTTACTTCTGTTGTACTATATTTGGAATACGATGTCTTGGCAAGTCAGGAGATAACATGATACTGTAATATTTTCAAATTATAGTTAATATTCAGATAAAACCCATGGATGTTTGCAGGTCTTTATCGCTCAGTTGAAGATGGAGAAAGGAATCCTGCCATAATCACATTTAATAAGATTGTTCCATTAATGCATAAAACCTTTGAAATACATTTCAACCATGAAGTATAGTGTACAATTCATGTTAGAAAAGTAAATAATGAGTATATATTCTATATTCAGAAATCTGAGAGAGCATTTTTGATTATACAAAATTTATTTAACAAAAGTTAATATGAAATGTACATGACCTGATTTTGACATCATAGTAAAACAGGCCCTTTGGGGAGGGACATGGATTCTCTGCCCAACAGCCATATTATTACTCGTTCCAAAGGCTCAACATGATGATACTATTTCCTCGTATTACCTAAGAAAGGGAAAAGTAAAACGAAAAACAATTCATTTAGGAGACAGATCAATGATGATTAAAGAATTTTATACCAAATCATTAAGGCTGACAATTACCTATGAGATGCCAGTTATTATTGACTTGTCTTACTTTTTAAACTGCAAACTGAAATGAACCTCTCTACCCTTATCCTTAAGGGATTGAAAAATTAACGGGAAAGACAGGTACAGAATAGGGTAGGTACAGTTTTAAGACCATTTAGGGAACAAACAAGGATGGAAGTTAGTAAAGGCAGGCTTTACGAAAATGACATCTTACCCGGGCCTTGGAAATTGAGTAGAAATTTTTTTTTTTTTTGAGACAGAGTCTGAACTCTGTTGCCAAGGCTAGAGTGAGTGCCGGCATTAGCTAGCTCACAGCAACCTCAAACTCCTGGGCTCAAGCAATCCTTCTTCCTCAGCCTCCCGAGTAGCTGGGACTACAGGCATGCGCACCATGCACCGGCTAATTTTCTACATATATAGTGGCCAATAATATTCCTTTCTATTTTTAGTAGAGACGGAGTCTCGCTCTTGCTCAGGCTGGGTTTCGAACTCCTGACCTTGAGCAATCCGTCTGTCTTGGATTACAGGCATGAGCCACCTCGCCCGGCCACACATACATTGTCTATTTTTTGCTTCTACTCTAAGCCGTGACACAGAGTGAGACTGTCTCAAAAAAAAAAAAAAAAAAAAAAAGTCCTATGAAACGCAAGAGCATTTTAAGCTGAACACTTGAGGGAGAACTTAAAGACCATGTTAGTTGGACTGGTCCATTTGAACTTTACATCGGATGTGATCTTCAGTCAAGATAAAACTAATAAGGGGCTGGCGTCTTATGCCTGGCTCTTAGTAATTTTACACCCTCTTTTGAAGTAAATGTGCTCATGCTCAAAGCCTTGACTTCAGAATGTTGTCCTTTGATTGCTTCTGTCTTGATATTAATAGGGTGAAATTTATGTTTTAGTAATTTAACCTTAAGATGTCATACAAAAAATCTGAAGTAAATGAAAGCAAAATGGGCTATTGAGGTAGAAATTGGCATCTTACTATACCTTCACTTCAGGAGCTTTTAAAAATACTGACAGATCCCCAGAAACAGAGATTCTGATTTAATGGATGGAGATAGAACCCTTGGCACTGTAACCTTTTAAATTCCCAATGTGCAAACCAGGTTGAAATCACTGATATGGGGGCAAAACTGTCTACAAAGGGTTTTACTGCCTTCAAAGCAGATCCATTTTGCAAGGAATGATTTCTCAATGAGAACTTCAGTAGTATCTTGATAGTAAGAAGCATTGACAGTCTAACAGCAGAGGCAACTTAGGTAACTCACGAGTAGTTGCACTAAAGTAGGATATCAGAATCACAACAAGCTTGACCAAATGCAGCACATGTTCAAAGTGTTAAATGTTTCAGTTACTGCAGAATTCTGAAGTGACAAACCGGTTCCTGAAGTCCACATTGTAATCACATGTAGGGCCTGTAAAGCATCCCAATTGATTTTAATATGCAGCTAAAACTTGAGAACCAGTTCTACATCTGTTGTTACAGAGATCATGGTTGGCTGTCGTAGGCAATGGTAGAACAAGACAAAGTACATGCTTAAGAATTCTAATTATAGGCGACGGCGTGGCTCCGCCTTGAATCCTCACACTCTGGAGGCCGAGGTGGTAGGAATGCTTGAGCTCAGGAGTTTAAGACCAGCCTGAGCAAGAGTGAGCCCCGTCTCTACTACAAATAGAAGAATTAGTGGAACAACTAAAATATACAGAAAAATTAGCCCGGCATGGTGGTGCATGGCCTGTAATCCAGCTGCTCGGGGCTGAGGCAGGAGATCACTTGAGCCCAGGAATTTGTGGTTGCTGTGAGCTAGGCTGACACCTCGCACTCTAGCCAGGGCAACAGAGTGAGACTCTGCTCAAAAAAAAAAAAAAAAAAAAAAAGAAAATTAGCTGGACATGGTGGCACATGACTAGTCCCAGCTGCTCCAGAGGCTGAGGCAGGAGGATCACTTGAGCCCAGGAGTTTAAGGTTGCATGAGCTATGATGATGCCACTGCACCTCTAGCTGGGGCACCATAGCAAGACTCTCAAAAAAAAAAAAAAAAAAAAAAAATTCCAGTAGGGCATCTGAAATTGCTTTCTCAAAACCGAAACAGGTTATTAATACACCAGGCATATTAGGTAGTTTTAATGGTACTACAGTATGAAGCAATTTTATTGGAAGAAAAAAAATACTACCAGGGATTGCCACTCCAGTCTTCTTTACAGAATAAACTGGTAAAAATGATGCGGTGGCTGAATGAAAGCCAGCTCTACTCCAATGATTCTCCAATGCATGAATTAAGCATGCATCAGAATTTCTGGAGGGCTTGTTAAAGAATTGCTGGGCCCCACCCGTACAATTTGTTTATTCAATAGATTGGTAGTAGGATAAGGAAATATTACATTTTTTAAAGTTCCCGGTAAAACTACTGTTCTAGGAATCGCACTTGGAGAACTAGTTCTACAATTTAGCTCTGTTGTTGCAAAAAATCAATGTCAATGATTCACAAAGAGTTGCTGAAGAATGGACGAATAGAATGTACTGGACTTCACGTCAACTTCCTTATTGTGATTAAGTTAGTTGATCCCTCTAGCTGTTCTTTTGTTGTAAACATTTTCTATAAGTAGGAAATACCATTTTAGAGAGAGAAATACATATAATAGCCATTTACTATGTTCTGTGTTTTAAAACTCCACATGTGTATATTCCCTTCTGCACAGTTTTATATATATCTCTTATTTGAGCTTGTGGGGCATAAAATTCATGAATAGATGAATATATTGTGACACACACCACTTCTCACTACCCTTTCTCTATGCACAAAGACCACAATACACTGCGCAATATTTTTCTATGGAATCCTATTTCCACTCTTGTATTCAAATTTCTCCCCACTTAATGATTATGTTCAAAATAAATAACTATGGCATTACTGTTTTACTTCTGTTGTACTATATTTGGAATACAGATGTTCTTGGCAAGTCAGAGGATTAACATGACTATGTTAAATTTTCAAATTATAGTTAATATTCAGATAAAACCATGGATGTTTGCAGTGTCTTTATCTGCTCATTGTTGAAGATGGAGAAAGGAATCCTGCCATATCACATTTAATAAGATTGTTCCATTAATGCATAAAACCCTTTGAAATACTTTCCCATGAAGTATAGTGGTCCCAATTCATGTTAGAAAAGTTAAATAATGAGTATATATTCTATATTCAGAAATCTGAGAGAGCATTTTTGATTTTACAAAAATTATTTAACAAAAGTTTAATATGAAATGTACATGACCTGATTTTGACATCATAGTAAACAGGCCCTTTGGGGAGGGACATGGATTCTCTGCTCAACAGCCATTATTTATACTCGTTCCAAGGCTAACATGATGATACTATTTCCTCGTATTACCTAAGAAAGGGAAAAGTAAAACGGAAACAATTCATTTAGGAGACAGATCAATGATGATTAAAGAATTTTTTACACCAAATCATTAAGGCTGACAATTACCTTTATGAGATGCCAAGTTATTATTGACTTGTCTTACTTTTTAACTGCAAACTGAAATGAACCTCTCTACCCTTATCCTTAAGGGATTGAAAAATTAACGGGAAAGACAGGTACAGAATAGGTTAGGTACAGTTTAAGACCATTCAGGGAACAAACAAGGATGGAAGTTAGTAAAGGCAGGCTTTACGAAAATGACATCTTACCCGGGCCTTGGAAATTGAGTAGAAATTTTTTTTTTTTTTGAGACAGAGTCTGACTCTGTTGCCCAGGCTAGAGTGAGTGCCGTGGCATTAGCCTAGCTCACAGCAACCTCAAACTCCTGGGCTCAAGCAATCCTTCTTCCTCAGCCTCCCGAGTAGCTGGGACTACAGGCATGCGCCACCACGCCCGGCTAATTTTTCTACATATATTAGTTGGCCAATTAATTTCTTTCTATTTTTAGTAGAGACGGAGTCTCGCTCTTGCTCAGGCTGGTTTCGAACTCCTGACCTTGAGCAATCCGTCTGTCTTGGATTACAGGCATGAGCCACCTCGCCCGGCCACACATACATTTTTAATATACTAAGTACCATTAAGAAATTATCATGGCCTCAGTGGGTCACTGACTTGAACAAGGTATTAATGAAACCACTGTTTCCTTTGCTAAACAATTTCTACAAAACGAAATTAACTAAACTTAACGTGTTTGTCTTCTTCCAGTTTCAAAAAGTCCAAAGTCCACTTCTGTTTTTGCGTTTCCTTAAATGTCTTTTTATTAAACACCATAATTGTATTATCATTACTTCATTTCAAAGTGAAGACTCAGCTGCAATACTATCTGCTGATCAGTTTAAGGGGAAAATTGCCAGAAGGATCCATGATCCAAGGTCAATTCCTTTTTTGATAAATTCCAATAGCAGTGTGTCACACATTGGATAAAAATATTATATTTTCAAACCAGAATTGACATTTAATATGCCCAAGGCCCTTTCTGAATCCTTTACAGCAAATTTGTTGAGATGAACAAAACCCCAATCTACCTTCTATTAGAATGAAGACTTCCCAATTTGTAAAAAGAAGGGTCAGAGAAAATCTTGAGGTATTTAGAAACTGTTTTTATCAGAACCTGGCTGCCAATAATCCTATCAGCTTTATTCAACAGAAGCTCATAGGGGAATGCAAGTGAAAGGCAGTGAATGCAATTTGGAATTGGTGTGACATGTAGGACTCTAAACTGTTTTCAGTTATGACTACTTTTTAAAATGTAGCAATGGAAAACCATTTAATAAGTAAAGGCAAACCTGGAAGAGTGATTTTTAAAAAATTACATAGGCAAAGGTGTTAAAAATCGTCTATCTTCAACTATCTCTTTCACACTTTATTTATTTATTTTTTTGAGACAGAGTCTTGCTGTTGCCCAGGCTTGAGTGAGTGCTGTGGCGTCAGCCTAGCTCACAGCAACTCAACTCCTGGCTCAAGCATCCTGCTGCCTCAGCCTCCCGAGTAGCTGGGACTAAGGCATGCGCCACCATGCCTGGCTAATTTTTTGTATATATTATAGTTGGTCAATTATTTCTTCTATTTATAGTAGAGACAGGTCTCGCTCTTGCCAGGCTGGTTTTGAACTCCTGACCTCGAGCAATCCGCTGGCCTGGGCCTCCAGAGTGCTAGGATTACAGGTGTCAGCCACCGCGCCCGCCTACACTTTAAATCACTTATCGGTATGCTGTCCTATGTTAGACAAAGAGGGATCAAAGTCTGGGTCTTATTGACAAATATCAAAACTCTTCCTTCAGTATCATAAACTATGGCCTAATGAATGTAGAAAAGTTTCCTCCTATAATGAGAACTGTTTTTTGATTTTCCCTGTTCTTCTCATGTCAAATGCTTATCATTGTTGATTTTCCCTTGTAACTTTTACTTGGTTACTTTTAAGTTTGGGGTGATAAATCCGACAATCCAGCTTACCTATGTTTACAGGTAAAATCAAGTGTGATTTGTGGACTGGCAGATCTGCATTACCTAGGCAGTTGGTAGGAATACAAAACCTCAAGCTCCAACTCACAAATACTGAATCAGAATCCTGTTTTTAATAAGATTTCGCTTGATTACGTGATGTTAAGAGTTTGGAGAACTATTGCTGTAATAACTAACTGATTATGGGGCCTCTCTTATAAAGCTCAAAATTATTCCAACAGCTATTCCAATCCCTAGGACCTTAGAAAGTTCTGTATAGTTGGGACCTGACCTATAGGTAACCGGATTTATCATAGCCAAATGACTGCCATATGTGAAACTATTAATAAAAAAGAGATGCGAAGTCTAATCTGCCTGTGATTTGCTTTTTCTGGGGTTACCACTCTAATTCAAGATGTTTGACATAGAAATTTAATATACATTACAAAAGAAAAGAATTGTCTAAGAGAAATCTTATATCTTACTTACCACCCATTCCCATATTGTTCTGTGCCACTAGTGCCATCGCCACACATTCATATCACAAGATCATAAAGGATCAAATCCCCGTAATATTCTTGGACATGTCTGCCACCATTTAATTTCACTATTAAAAGAGAAAAAAAGTTTTAGTAAACTACCCACCAACCATCAATTGCTCATTAATAATTAGTTGGATAAAAAGTTGAGATGTTTGACTCACTATCCTACTATATCGACTAGCATGGTACATGTGTTATTATTTACTTCCATGTTTTAAAGTATCCATAAAGTAGCATTATCCTTACTTTATAAGATTTAATAGTTACTCTATGGTAGAGGTGAGATCAAACTGAAGGCTGCCTTACCTCACTCCCCCCCCCCCCCCGTGGAGTCAGCCTAGATCACAGCAACCTCAAACTCCTGGGCTCAAGCAACCCTCCTGCCTCAGCCTCCCGTGTGGCTGGCACTACATGCCCGGCTAATTTTTTTTTTTCAGTTGACCAATTAGTTTATTTCTATTTTTAGTAGAGACGGGGTCTTGCTCTTGCTCAGGCTAGTTTCAAACTCCTGACCTTGAGCAATCCGCCTGCCTCAACCTCCCAGACTGCTAGGATTACAGGCATGAGCCACCGGGCCTGGCCCATGCTTATGTTTTTGATCAAAATCCAGGGCTCTGCCCCCAGACTTACTGAAACAATCTCTAAGAGAGGAGCTAAAGAATTCACATGTTTAAAAAACTCCAGGTAATTCTTAGGATCAGACAAGTTTGAGCAACACTACTAATGGATATTGAAAGAATACTTAAGAAATTTTGGAGAGGGCATAAGTGCAATAGTTACATCATCACGCTTAATTAGAACCTTTTATTTTTCTTATGACCCACAGGGATTACTTCTGTTCAACAGTGATATTGGCAAAATATCCTATTCAAAATCATCTCTGCTCAGACTTTGTCCTTTTTTGCCAGTGATACTCATTTGGAAGTAGGAGACGAAAACAGAGATACTGTCATTTTATAACTCAGTTTTAAGTTTCTCATATAAACCATCCTGGTCAATCATGTCTGTGTGTCCATTCCAGCGGTGATAGGCAAGGAGCGCAGCGTTGTAGGCTGCAATGGCACTCATTTCCATGGCACTTGTTGCACACTCTATGCCAGTGATATAATACAGTCGATCATGAAGTATGACGGAGGGGCATTTCTCTGGGGGCTCATAGTGAGGATATGCAAGCCATGACTTCTTCACGGCATAATCATAGGATGAAAAGAGCTTCAAAATTTGTGCTTTAGTAAGAGTTTCTGGGGAAAACATCCTCCAAACATATGTTCCATCTGTTGATGATTGAGGAGTTTCCTTTTTCCTTACAGAGTACTTAGTCTCAAGACTGTTAATGAATGAATCTGAATTATCAGTGGTTAAAACTGTACGAAGGCCAAAGTTATCTATGGACCGAGAGCTAAAGACAGATGAATTCAATTCCCCCTTAACTAAAGTTGTCACTATATGTTCATAATTTTGATGGAATTCCTCAATTGGAGGATCAAAGTTGAGAAAAGTAATATTGGACATTTTTTGATTCAATGGAGTAGCCACCAAGACGATGTCATAGAAGTCTGAACGGGTCTCAGATCCAATTTGGTAGACCACTTCGTACATCTTTGTGGGATTTCCTAGAGGGAATAGGAAGCACACATTTCTTTAGTGTTTCCAACATACTATACTTTATACACCCTAAAAATAATTCTATACCTTCTTAATTGTGTCTCTGTAATTCTAAGGAATTAAAAGGGGTTTTGTTCTTCAAGATAACTGTCTCTTGCATTTTTATTGAGGCCAGTTTTCTATTCAGAATGTCAGTAAGTTCAAAATAAGGAATTTTTACTTTTGAGAATGAGATTATTATTTTTTTTGTTTTGTTTTGTTTTGTTTTCTTTTCGAGAATGAGATTATTTTTTAAATCCAAGGAGTCATGCTTCTGCACTTGAGTACATTTGGGAATATTTCTACATGGCACAGCATATGCAATTTAAACTTCCATCATTGTGGATCTAAGTGAGAGATACCAGAAGAGAGGTTTTCCACCCTGAGCAATCATTTTCTATAGAGGATATGAGAAAGAAAATGAAAGTTAAAGCTTACCTGTCTGTTTGGTCCTTGTTTTCTCCTCTATGTACATTACTGAGCCAGATATAAGATTGCTTTTGGAAGCCTGAAGGAGCCCTGAGCAAACAAGCTTATTGCCACCTTCTACTGCCCAATGGCCAGAATCAGAAGAGGACAATGACATCGCCCCTGTCAGCAGGAGGAAAAAATGTTTTGAATTCTGAATCTGAATAGAAAAAATCCTGAATCTGTAAGAGATCCCCTACCCAACTCTCCACTCTCAATTAGATGTCCTCCTCTAAATGTCTCCAGACATTGAAAAATGGCCTCTGGGGCCCCCACTTGAGAGTCACTGAACTCATAAAAGCTTAGGACTCTCTCTCCCTAAAAATACACATCTAGATACATAAAATTTTGCTAATAATGTCTGAAGTTCACAGAGAGGCAACCTTCCCCAACCTTGGCCTAAAGTTAGGAGCCACCACAGCATCGGGTGAGCCCCTTTGTGAATTAACCTCCACCACAGTTCCAAGCCCTGTCTTACCCACAATAGCATTGAGACCCGTGCTCTGGCCAAAATTGATCCTCATGATAGGAGCAACCATTTCATCAAGGAATTTCTCAGAGAAGCCTGCTTTCTGCAAGGTTTCAAGAAGTGTTTGGTTAAGTAGTCCAAGGAATTCATCCCCTCCTGTAGCATGTAGTAATTTTTCTACACTGCTGAAGGCATACTCATGAGATTGGTAGCTATAGATCCTTTATGAAAAGAAGAGAAATGACCATTAGACACCAAACAAGAAGGGGAGTAGGGGATGTATAAAGAAGGGAAATAGTGGCATAAGAATCAAACTGACTTCCATGTTCCCTTCTGATAAGTTTCTACCTATCATGTGAGACACAGCTCAGAGACCATCTTCCCCAGCGCTCCCAGACAATCCTTGCCCTCCACCTCCTCTACAAGTCTATTGTCCTTTGTATACAGTCTTGCTTTTCTACAGTAATATGATCACTGGGAGCACCTATTTTTAGCCTCCTTTAGAAGTCCCTTGCACTCTGTATACACTCTTCTGCATTAATGTGGTCACTGGTAGCACCATTTTTGTCTTTCCACCAGGCTTGATCTCTATTCATCACATCCCAACCTAAAATAACTGGCCACTGCTAACATCCTACTTGTCATCCTCAGTTTATTTAGTTTTAAAGCTTAAACATATTTCACATCTGCTTCTCCCACCCAAGCAGGAAACCTTATCAATCTTCCTAATATCTGTCTTTTTACTCCATTCTCACTTCCCTGATCTTAGGTTAGGATTTATATTCAAACTACCAAAGTGAAATGATCTACCTGCTTCTAGTTTCTTTTTGAAATATTTATAAATCTCCCAGGATTCCTAAAGTATACCTCTTTTATAACATCCTTCATTTATTTT